GTTCCGGCTGTTCTGTCGGGACTGAATGTCTTGTTTACTTGCTTATTCATTTATTTATTCGTTTATTTTAAATATTTCAAATTATATCCTACTGGACCTTTCGCTCACGTTTTATGTTTCAAATGTTTAAAACCCCTCCCAGGAGACTCTAGGAGCGGGGCGCAGTAGCGGGAGTAGCTGAGTGGTGCTACGGAACGATCAAGTGAGGACTGTGTTCATCCTCTAACATAAAGTGTAAGGAATATGTAAGAATTTGTAATAAATGACATTTGGATTTACTAGACTGTGGATGATGTCTGTTGTAATTGATTATTTACATGTGCATGTATGTACGATACTGTATGTCCTGTGGGGTGGAGCCCTGTGTGTCAGAGGCTCCTGGATTATGTCGTTTATTTATATTTTAATGCAGTTAAGTGTGGGATCCGGTTGGGAATCTGTTTTATTAATCCCAAATCGAGTTCCACGTCACCCACCCCGGTTGGGGAGCGTGACAGATACTCACGCAGATAACTAGGTGTTTTCGTAGTGCGCGTCGGCCGTGATGAAGAAATTTGTGGATCCGAAAGCAAGGTTGGGGTAGGTTGATCAATGGGTGGGGAAGTTACAGGTGAAGGAATAACTTAGGAAGAAGCTTTGCCATTTGAGTGAGGAGAAATTTCTTCTTGAGAGAGATGGTCAGGTGGAAACACTTCAGTGTTGGGAGAAAAATGTGGAGTAGGATTGTCATCATCATTTGTTGATGAATGATAAGGTATTGGAGGTGAGTCTGCAACGGAAGATGGAAAAAGAAAAATATCCTCATGAAATACAACATCACGTGAAACAAAAACTTTACCAGTTGAGAGGTCATAAACCCTGTAACCTTTTTGAGTATATGGATATCCCAAGAAAAGACATCGTGTGGCTCTTGGATCAAATTTGGTGGGACGCTGGTGATGTGTTGAGACAAAACACAGACATCCGAACACTCACAAATGGTCATATACGGGCTGTTTGTGAAAAAGCATTTTGAAAGGTGTTTTTCCTTGAAGAAGAGGTATGGGAGTTCGGTTAATGAGGTAGGTAGCAGTCAAGATGGCGTCTCCCCAAAATCTCTTAGGAAGATTGGCATGGAATAATAAGGCTCAGGCTACATTAAGGAGGTGACGGTGTTTTCTTTCGATTACTCCGTTTTGTTGTGGAGTGGAGACACAACTAGTTTGATGAATGATACCTTTATCTAAATAAAAATTCCTCATTGTAAATTCAGGCCCATTATCACTTCGAAGAACTTTGACTTTCAAGGAGAATTGTGTTTCAACAAAGTTGATGAAGTTGGTCATATATGAATGAACGTCTGATTTATGATGCATCAAATAAGTCCATGCGCAATGAGTATAATCATCAACGATTGTAAGAAAATACTGTGCCCTTGTAATTGAAGGAACATGGTACCCTCCCCAAATATCAACATGGATTAGTTCAAAATGTGCTTTAATGCGAATGGAACTTATTGAAAATGGAGAACGAGTTTGTTTAGCTAATGGACAAATTAAACAATCAGAAATATTACAAAATTTCATGTCTGTAATTGAATGAGAAAACAAACTAAAAGGCTTATTTGATGGATGACCAAGGCGTTAATGCCAAAGTCTTGAGGAACAAGAGGCTGGGGTGGTGATTGCATTACTCCCAGTTTTCTGTGGAGTATCAAGGTAGTAGAGTCCTCATCGCTCAGTTCCCGTTCCAATCATCTTCCCCGAACGTTGGTCCTGTAGCATACAAGTACTATTAGTGAATGTGGCAAGATAGTAGGAATTGTACACGAGCTTGCTAATGGAAATCAAGTTTAATTTAAAGGAAGGAACACAAAGCACATCATGCAGGATGAAATTAGCAAAATGAATGCTGCTTATGTGTGTGACAATAGCAATGGCTCCATTTGGTAGGTGCACGGTTCGATTGGTTACACGAGATTTGTGTCAATAAGTCAGCTGAGTAAATCATGTGGTCTGTGGCTCTTGTGTCGAGAATCCATCACATTTCTTTGTCAATAGCAGAGGCACAAAGGATTCTACTTGAGAGATCACTCATGGTAGATGCACTACCGACATGATTGGCCATCGAATTAGACTTATTCCCAGCAAGTAGTGTCATGATTCTGATATTGTTCTGCTGTGAGAGTGAATTGTGTGGAAGATGCTGGTGTATTGGCATCTGCATGGTTGGCCTTGGAGGAACAATTCTTGTGCTCAGGTTTGTTGCCTGTAGAATTCATCTTTTGCAACTTTCGACAGACATCAACGGTGTGACCTTGCCAGCTGCAATAATCACATTTGAGGTGTGCTCGACATGTCTCTGAAGTATGCCCAATTTTATCACATGTTCCACATTTCAGATGGGGATTATTAGGCATGAAAATCCTCTCAGATTTTTGTGGGTTGTTCTTCATAGTAAAAGCCAAGGCTTTAGCCAGTGGTGCGCCTACATTTGATTTTCCTTATTGTTTTTCATCTTGGAGGATGAGGGAATGAGTTTTGTTGACAATAGGAAGTGGATCCATGAGTAGAATTTGTCCTCTAGCACTGGCGTAGACTTCATTAAGTCCCATGAGAAATTTCATGGTCTTTTGATTTTGTTGGAACTGCAAAACGTCCTTCATAGCACCACATGTGCATTTAGGAATGCTACAGAGTGCATCACGTTCATCCCATAGACCTTTAAGCTTGGTGTGATAAGCCCCAATAGTCATGTTGCCCTGTTTACAATCATGTATGGCTTCTTCAACATGAAAAAGATGAACACTGTTAGTACGTGAAAAATGATCTTTTAAATCAAGCCAGATTTCTTAAGCACTTTCATTGTATATTATGCTTGCTCCAATCTCTTGTGAGATTGAATTAAAAAGCCATGTTTTTACAAGATTGTTGCAGCGCCTCCATTGTAGGAGTTATGTGGTGGAAGTCTCCGGTGGTTCTTTGATGGTGCCATTGACGAAGCCTTCTTTATTCTTGATGTTGAGAGCCATTAGCATAGCATGGCTCTAGGTGCCGTAATTTTCTCCATTCAGCGATTGTGTGACGAGTATAAGCCCAAGTTGATCGAAATAATGAAGGTAAAGAGGATCATTTGGATTATCAAACTTGCTGGCCTCAGGCTTGGCTGAGTTTTGAGTTTCGTCTTTTCCTGCCATGTGAATTGGCTAGAAGAAGGTGTGCAATTTTATGGATGTGAGAATAAGAAGAACAAGAGTTTTAAAAACCGTGGTTGCTCTGATACCATGTAAAGAAAGAATAAATTTCTTGTATATTGCTATTGAAAGAGAATGGAATATATACACTATACGGACATCAATTTAGATCCTAAAATAAAGAATATACACTGTCATTGTCTATTCACACTCCTACATAAATGTAAACAAATCAACTAGAATTGATGATAGTTGACCGAGATGATTCGAAGATCCCTAACTTTGTGCATTGATTGACTTTTCATTCCTTAACAATGAACTACACCACAATCCTTCCAACATCCCTTTGATGAGCTATACTTGTGAAATTTACAAGTTCCTTCAAATACACGCGTTACGGAACCACAAATGAGCGTATACTACAGAGGAATATTTATGTTAGTATATGGTTCGAGTATGAGCACAACACAGTATCATTTGCATGACGAGTGTTTGTTGGGGGCAGCTTCTTCCACTGTTTGGTAACAGGATTACAGATATAATAATCCCAAACGTCTCCCGTCATTCCTCGACAACATACTAGTCTATTGGATCAATCCAAAATTCTGACTTTCTCCGGCAAAAAGTAACTCGAAGACAGGCTTGAGACACTGTATGCTTTGAGGTCTAGGGAATTTTTTTTGGGAAAGAAACTCATATGGGATCCAGGCTGTATTGGTTGGAGGAAGAAGTCAGAAATGTCGCGGAATGCTTCCGATTGCTGGTTGGCAAAGGCCCAACAAACTGCTTTGAACCTGCACAGTACTTTAGCAGGGAGAAACGGAAGGGCTTTGTTCCTGATTATGGCTGCAAAGTCGACTGCTAAGTCGCTGATCTCACTGGTCTCATCCAGAACATGATCACAGTTTACAATTCGATCTTCTGATTCCATTATTTTCTTGTTTCTCCACGTTTTCATTCCCATGTTTAAAGAATGGTAAAGATTATGATATCAGAAAGTAATTAAAAAGAGGTAATATGAACAGGGCTATATTTATAAGGATAAAGTTCATACCAAAATTGTAACTTTTAAAGAGTTTAGGGGCTGAAATATAATTCTTAAAAAGCTTATAATTTTAGGCTCAGATGTATTTTTATAAAAGTTTTGGGCCAAAATATAATTTTATAAAAATTTAAGAGTCAAAATATAGTTTTATAAAAATTTTGAGGCTAAAATATAATTTACTTAAAATTATTTACTTTTTTTTGTTTTAAAAAAATATGTGATAAAAATAACCTTAAATTTCTATAAAAAAAAAAAACCTTAAGTGAAATGTTTATATTTTAAAATTTTTAAAAAATATTAAGATCCTTTTATTTTATATACTTAAGTTCATATTATTAATTTTATTATAATATTTTTTTATAAAAAATTTAAAATTTAAACTTTAAAATTAAAAATTATAATTTGAGTATATCGTAAGAGCCTATTAGAATATGTTTCGGTCCTTTTTAAAAAAAAAAAAAAAAAAAAACCCTTTTTTTCCCCGCAAAAGAAGTCCTTTTTTTGTTGATTGAATTTGTTAATTGATTTTTTTTTTTGCCCATTGTTAATGTAATTTCATTTTCTCTCTCGTCGTTGTTTCTTCCTCTAGTCGTTCATTTCAGGGGAATCCGTAAAATTACTCGGATTATTTTTTAATGGTTAAAGCGTTGGCTTCCGCGGGGCCACATGAACTGTTTGTGGCTGCAATTTCACCCTCTCCCTTCTCTTGGCCGTGGCCCCTCTCTCTCACTGTCCTTGCAAATTCTCCAAATTCCACTTTCCTCTCTCTCTCTCTCTCTCTCTCTTCTCTCTAGAAAGGTACTGCTTCTTTTGCCCTGGTTGACCACTTAATGAATATTCTGTTGCACTTTCTTGTTTTCTTCATCTGACTTTGAGTAAAATCTTAAACATTTCACTCTACAATTATAATCATTTGATTATTATTATTCTATTTGGGTTTCCTTTTTTATTTTCTATTTGAAGCTCTGCCAAGTCAAGTAAATGCCCTAACTGGACTTTGCTCTGCTCTTTTGTGTTTTGTGCTTGTTTCATTGTTTATTGTTGTTATCTTCCGAATCGAATTCCGAATCCTAAAGATCTAAGAGCTTCCGAAATGTTGAACTTTTTTTAGCTTCTGAAATTCATTAGTAAAGATCAAATGCTTAATTTAATTTGATTCTTTTTATTTCTCTTGAAAGGACTTGTTATTAACTGAGAACATAGAGAAATCCCAACACTGCAAGTCTTTAGCGATTAACATTTTTCTCTCAAATTATTTATTTATAAAAGTAGGAGTAAGCAATTGTGCCTAAAGGACCAGAAAGTGAATTATTGGTTTGGTATTATTTTATTTCATTATCATTTATGGATTTTAAAACATTTTCTGGGGATGATAAAAGTACGTGTTCAACATAGTGACCGTCTTTCATAAGGTTTTGAATACCTGCAGACTGCAAATTATATGTGACACTTAACACCGCGGTCGATTTTTTTCCCATACAGGTTAGTGTTGTCGTGAGGTTCTCGCTTGTTGGGTTCTCACCCCATTCTTGTTGCAATCGTTCCAATGGCATTTACTGCAAGCAAAGTTTCAAGCAACCCTGCATCAACTAACATGGGGAGTCTTCCTAAATCACGTGGAGTTCTGAACTCTTTTTCCAAGTCAATGCAACAAAACAAATTCCATTTCACGGGTCAATCAGGTGAACTAAGGAAAGTAAGTCTTCGATGTCTCTCGGCGACAAATTTGTGTTTTGCCAATGAGGTTTTGTGGCGCAAAAATGGCAAAACTTTAAACTTGACAACTTCACGAAGACCTTCCACATTATGCCGGTCAAGTGGATCTCGAAACTCAAAAACAAAAGGAGGTCTTAGAACTTGTGATGATTGTGCAGATACAAGCAGGTAGGTAGGAAAGAATTATTTTTATGATCAACATCAGAAATATTGATATACTTGAGGTTTCATTAAGTCTAACCTTGTGGTTCTTCGTTCCTTGGACTGTAGTTATAAACTTTGATTTGATTGGGACTTATTGTTGGCCGTTTCTCATAACACTGAGCTGCCAAGTGGATATTTCCTCAGTATTTTTAAAGTAGAAAAACCAAGTTTAGTTCATTTAAGCTTTTGGGATGGATGATTTTTAAGTATTACGGAAGGAAGTCTTGAGTCCTAAGGCCTTCAATTTATCCATAACTTTCATATGTTTCCAACTCTAAATCCAATCTATGTTTTCCTAAACTTATGCTCACTTTTGAAAAAGTATGAGAGTTTAAAAATTAAAGTTGGCCCATATCCCAATTCCTAACAAATTACGCTTTTGAGAGATGGATGGTTAATTAGTGTAACTTGGAGAAAGAAATGTGTGCTTCATTTTTATTTATTTATTTATTTTTTCATTATCCGAACACAACTCTTGATAGACACGATTCAGTCTTCGGCTTTATGCTTTTTATTATGGCATGGATTGAGCTTATACATTATTACAATCATGTTCCAAAGATCTTCTAACTTTCTTGGTGTATCAGTGCACAAATTGGAGATAAGGAAGATGAATATCCAGTCATGTCCGAGAGAAGTATTCACTCTACCAAGGGCTTAGCTGATGCCTGTAGATTTGTTTACAATGATGCAAAGTTTGTGAACGAAAGGGCTCGCAATGACATTGTCTTGCTTTCACGGTATATTCAATCTTTTAATTTTATTTTCTTTCTAACAAGAGCTTTAAGTATTTATCATCTATCCACAACTCTTTAGTTTTTTAAGAATTATTTATAGAGGCATTGGCAGCAATCAACGAATTACATGAAAAGATTGCAGTACTAGGCCTTTATCATTACGCTCAATGATGTTAGATTCAGGTAGCACTTCTTTTTTTGATAATTCAGGTAGCACTTCTTAGAAAAACCATTATGTATGAAGCAAGGTTGTTGGTATTGGTTAACTGTTATTTTATTATACCATTTTAACTTATCCTTCATTAATTTGATGAATTTCAATTGTTTTAATCAGTGGCATAATGAGGTTGGATGCCCGTGCACGCCAAGATGTAGCTTTTCTTGGGTCAGAGTTTCTCAAGCTTGATGGTAAATATTTTCAACATTACAAACTTCTCTATACGATTAGTTGGTTATGTTGGAAGAGTTAGATGCATACTTGAAGACAATTATTTGATTTTAATTAACTAATTTGAATGAGCATGCCTTTTTTTTGCTTTGGCTCTCTGGATGCGACATCTGAAGAGTTTGTAGACATCCTTTCTCTTTGGTTCTTTTAAGTTGGCAAATGTTCTGTAAATTTCTCCCTATCCTCCTTTCCGGTTACTCTTTTCTGATATATATCCTTTTAGTTTCTTAATTTGTTATGAAAGGAAAGGTAATGGATGATCTTTTCCTTCATTTGGATCATTATATGAGTATTTTGATCAGTAGAATGCAATCGCATTTGGTTTTGCAAATGTGATAGTAGTTGGTATTTTGATCATTATATGAATATTCGCAGTTGGTATTCACTTAAAAGTAATTTTTATCTGGAGTCGAGCAGAATGTGAATCAATTAGATCAGTAGAATTTTGCTATGCTCTTGTACTTTTTTTAAAGGGATTATCTTTTTTGGTTTTGTTTGTGCGTCAACATATGATTCCCCTCATGTTCATCTTCTGTTGGCAGCTCGGGCGAGAGAGGACACTGAGAAACTTGACCGTGGTGTGAAGAAGAAAGCCGAACGGCTTCATCATATTGCTACAGTATGTATAATCTGGTTTATTTTAAGGAGAAGACTTGTTATGTGTCTAATGTCTATCTATGGGTGAGAGGGGGTGTTGTTGTTATGTTATCTGGTCTTTTATTTTTTTTCTCTTCTGGTTTTCTTTTTGCCTTTTGGATGGATCTCTCGTCCATCTTTATTCTTTTTGTCCTTTTTGTTCTGAGTTGTTTTTTTTTAATAAAATTTTCGTTTGTTTCTTATCAAAAAAAAAAAAAAGTCTGTCTACGGTTAATGCGGTGCTGTATTTCCGTCTACCAGATCTTGAAAGACAAAGCTGGGTCTAGATTGAAAACTGCTGCCGATAAGCATTGGAGTGATGGAGCGTTAGAGGTGCCTCTTTTATCTTTAAAATGTGATTTGTCGAGTGCATTGTGTTATGTCTCGGGGAAATCCATATATATATCTAAAGTTGGAGGAAAAAAGTGGCTGTTTGCAGCACTCTCCTGCGCTTAATTATACATACTTTATTCTATTTTGTTGTGTTGAAGGACAAATATAAAGGGAAAAAAACACGTTATTTGAAATAAATAATGTATATTGACACCATAAACTTGCATCGCCTTTTTGTTAGTGAGAGTTATCATTAAGAATTTGAGTGGTTCATATTATAAATACGTGTATTATCTTAAGGGTCATCAAAATTAAGAGGCCACTTTGAATCTTTTGTATAATTGTGTGGCAGTACTCAAATATGATACACGTCTAACAATGAGTATGGAGCTGTTTCTGAATCATCATGGCTCATTGGAAAAAGGAGATGGAATTCAAAATAAAAAAAAACGTCATTCTCTTTTTGTTTTTTGTTTTGTTTTGTTTTTTGTTTTTTTTTGTTTTTTTTTTGTTTTCTTTTTTTGGTTGAGAATTTGGACATTCTCTTGGTAGTTGATCCGATATGTTTCAACGCTGCGATTTAACTTGCTTTTAGGCTGATTTGCGCCGTGCTGACTTTCGTGCCAAACAACGTGCAATGGAAGATGCTTTAATGGCTTTGAAGGTGAATTAATTATTCTTTATGTATTATTCATGCAGAAAGTTGTTGAATAACATCTTTTTTCTTTGCATGCCATAAGTGATACATGTATCAAGTCTCATGGATACACGGGAACGAAATATCTAACCTTCGTCATTTTATGTAATATGCAGTTTGTCAAAAACATCCATGACATGATGGTCAGTCGAATGTACAAATTGTAAGTGTAATGTGATCTTCCTATGGGATATTTTTCGCCTCTTGAATTGGAGTAAAACACCCTTTAAACCCTAATCTCTGACATTTTAGCATCCAGTCCTCTGCGTAGGGA